CTCCGTGAGTTTTTGTGAGCAGGAGGGTCCATCTCTCATACTTTTTTTCTGTGGCTTCCTTTTGCCTTCTTCATCCTCCCTCTCTAGCTTCAATTCTGCCAGAATTATTTTCCCACGGTGCCACAGCAGTGGCCTGTTGCTGGGGGCTCCTACATTTCAGACTCAGTAAGAATGGCTTGCCCTTCTGACACAGCTGTAGGGGAGAGCCCATTTCCCATAAAAAAATGTTGCTTTGCCTAAGGGTCAGCTTTGAAGGCACAACTAGGTGTTACAGATATGTGGGAGACCTGGATTTGATTCCAGGTCATGTGCCTCACATGCCAGCATTACCTATCTGTTAGTTCAGACTTGCATCTGTGATGCTGAGCAGATTTCAGAGGAACGTCCAGACTAAAATAAACTAGGAAGAAATGCACAACAAATTACTTTGGAAAATAAGCCACTGATGACCATAAGAATCACAATGGTCTAACCTGCAATTGATCATCGGATGGCCCAGGACTGGGGACGATTCATGTGTTGTGAATGGGGTGATCGAGAGTTGGGGAGATAAGGTGATGATGGCTAGCAATACTGTCTTATAGCCTTACTGGGATGTAGATTATGAAAGAATATACCACAGGGAAAGCACTTTTTTCTAAACCAGGTGCTGGTATTATTACAATTTAAATAGACTGTCATGTTCTGTTCTCAAAAATCCTGTTGAGACAGGGCTTATTATGAATACTGTTTTTCAGAAGAGAAAACAGGTTCAAAATGTCTAAATAACTTGACCAACCTCCCACAGCTAGCTAAAGCGGCAAGTGGGATCCGCAGCCAGCTTAGAATGTAAAGCACTTGTTCTTCAGGACCAGATCGCATGGCCTAATTTGAGGACTAAATAATAAAGAATCACCTAGGAGATGCAGGAATCGAGCCTCACAAAGGCCACTCGTGCTGACATCCTTAAAGTTTTTACGCTATCTTATCAAACTGATCTTATTTTGACCTTCAGATAGAGGGCTTAAAGACACTTTGAG